AACTAGCTTCTTCCTCCCCTGGTGTTTTGCCGTGAGAAGAAACGAGCTGAGTAAGATATTTTTTCTACCTCGACAGCAGGCCCAGTGATAACCGGGAATCCAACCAGAGGAAAACTTTGAAATTTATGTGTGAAAACGGAAAATATTGAAATCATATGGAAAGGCTAATAAGATGCTGTTTAATTCTAATTTCATGTAGATCACAGGTGAATACATTATATTAAAATTAGGAATAACTTAAGTTTGCGGGAACACAACATGCCCTCTGAGTAAGCGATTGCCGCGAGAAATCCAAGGGATCTAAGTTCATCTCCCTCATTGAAATTAATCGCGTTGCAACTGCAACGGAGGTGAAAAACTGTCGTGACAAAAGCGACACCGAATAAGCAATCAGGTTGACAAATCGTTTACATAACAAGAACGAAGTAGAGGACTCCGGGCTAAGTGGCCAGGATTTGTTTTTAATGCTTCCGGCCGAGCTTTGCCACCTTCGCTAAATGAATATACCAAAAGTGCTAAAAAGGGTTTAGTTTCCTATTCATCCTTCAATGAAAATGGCATGTTTGTTGAAACCGTCATCTTCGTTAAAGAGGAGGGTTTTATAGGAAAACGATCACTTTATCTGATAAAATACCCGTGCTTTAATTAAATTTTCCTTTCACAGGCAGTGATATTCCAGTCCTCCTCGTAAGATCCAAAGACAAACTACGGTGGTAATGCTCACCACTCTGTAGATTTCTTCGTTTTTGTTTCCTAACACGGCGCCGTCCTGGCTTAGTACCTGCTAAAGGGCATATTGGACTACTGAACCTGATTCCTGATAGGTTGGTTCTCACTTTGCGAACCTCACTTAACACTAAGAAAACAAATAAGCACACTGACACTGGTGGTCTTTACACTAGAGCCTTAATAAGCTAAGAAATATTTCAAGACAAGTAAATTTTAAATTCTTCAAGTAAAAGGAAGCTCAGGTGCACCCAACGTCAATTTCGGAAAATATCTGTTCTGAAGACGATTTGAGATCTAGGATTTTTGGAACATTTGTTGTAAAATTTCTTGCTTGCCTGCCTCTCCTAGGATTCTCGAACATTTAAAAAATGGTACAATTGCCCATTTTTAACGGATTTTTACCCTAAAAAGGTCACTTAGAATTTTCGGGAGCCTTTTTCTGGCTGAAATTTTCAAAAAGGTAAGTTTTGATCCCTATAATTTTCGGATCACTAGACTTTAAGCTAGGAAATCCGAACAGACGAAAAAGTTTTAGGGGATAAAGATATGCCTATATCTACCGTTAAATACTAAAATACGTTGAACATGCTATGTTTAAGTGGTTTTGAACGAAATTCTCGTTGGCTACTCCTGAAATCTTCACACAGAACCTATTTTTTTACTTCAGGTTTACTTAAGCCTATTTTTCCACTCAGCATAATTAAGATTGATTGACATGCTTAGCCTTTTTATCAAAACTCAAGAAACCGCAAGTTCCCTAAGTAGGTCATTTCAAGTCACTTGGAACTTCCTTGAATCGTTTCAACTTTCCGACTTTAATGAGATGCAAAGTAAAGTTACTTGAGATTTTACTTAGGCCTAATCACACACGCATTAATGGTTAAGTAAAACTTAGCAGCTCTTAAGTCTTACTTAACAGCCTAGTGTAAATATATCAATTATCTCGATTGTAACATTTCGTTCAACTGGACGCAATTATTATAAGGTATGATCCCTTTAAGTTTTTAATGACGACAACTGGGGCACAAAAACAACTTATTATGGGCATATATATTAATGAAGATTTTCGTTCTCTTTTCTTCAGTTCTAGCTTGATCTGATGCACATAAAAGTAAGCTGACTTAACAAGGAAAAAATGTCCGGCCAGTTTCATTTCCTATTGTTATGGGTATTGATGCACTCTTCGCCAGCTTCTTCTATCGACCCGAAGCGATTCTACAAACCTGGCAACGTTACTCTAGGTGTCTTGCTTCCTCTTCACGTCAGAACCGCCCAGGATAAATGCGGTGAGTTTTACGCTTTCGGCCTTGGATACACTGAGGCTATAACTTTTGCAATCGAGCGTATTAACAAGGATCCTGAGCTTCTACCAAATGTGACACTGGGCTTCGACATTCGAGACTACTGCGACACACCTGTTCTCGCCATGAAAATAGCCAATGACTTCGTGAAAAGTAATTATCTCAACGAACTGCTTGAAGGACAAGGTGATAACTTTACGTCAAAGCTTACAATAAATATGGATTATCTAACGGCACCCATTTCTGCAGTTATTGGCACTGAAGATTCAAGTAGCACCACTCTCGTCTCGAGTCTACTGCAGGTGGCTGCCATTCCAACTATAAGTCCTTTCGCTACCAGCGAGGAGTTGAGCTCACCGTATTTTAACTCCTTCTTTCGTACCATTCCACCGGATGGCCAACAAGCTAAAGCCATGGCTGACATAATAGAGTATTATCAATGGAAGTATATTGCAGCCGTAGCCATTGACAATTCCTACGGACGATACGGCATACGCGCGTTGGAACGAGAAGCCTATGACCGAAAGACCTTCTGCATCGCGTTTTCGGAGTACATCACGCATTCGGGATACAGAGGAAAACTAAAATCAATCGTGAGAAAACTCAAAGATGCTGAAAACATCAAAGTGGTCATCTTATGGAGCAACTATGAACCAGCAAAAAGATTTCTGGAAGAAGCGACTGCACAGGGGCTTGAAGGACGAACTTTTTTTATTAGTGAAGCAATAGCCTTAATCAATCCAGACGTTTTGGAAAAAAATGCTATCATACTAAAAGGAGCAATAGGAATAAGGCCTTATCTATTCACAGACCATCTGTTTGAGCATTATCTTAAGGGAATCACACTAAATGAGACTCGAGAAAGCCCCAATCCGTGGTGGAAGGATTTTTGGACAAGTCATCTGAACTGCCCCTCAATGTCTGAGGGTGCTTGCCTTAACCCGGCCAAAATAGACGCTCGAGCCTTCGCCAAACTGCACAACGCCTTCATTCCTTATCTGAGAGACGCCGTCTATGCCCTTGCACACGCGCTGGACTCTTTACTGAAGTGTAAAAAGCCCGGAGGTGGACCTTTAGCGAGTGGGTACTGTCCTGAGCAAAATGCCAACTTCACAGCTGAAGCCATGCTTCTGAAACTCAGGAAAGTGAGTTTTCAAGGCATAACAGGGCAAGTGCAGTTCACCGAAAGTGGTGATCCCACTTTTTCGTCGTACGATATCGTGAACTTTCAGAAACAGACCGAGAGTTATGAAAATGTAAAGGTGGGGACATGGACAGGGGGAACTCGCATCAACCTCACAATCAATGACAAACGAATAAAATGGGCTAATGAAGAAAGTGAGCCTCCCATATCCACGTGCAGCCACCGTTGTCCTCCGGGAACTAAGCAGACGATCACTGTGTCCTGTTGCTGGGAATGCATTAAGTGTCCTCTGGGCTCCATCAGTAAACAGCACAGCTCTCACAACTGTACGAAGTGTCCACAACTACATAAATCAAACGCCGGCGGTACAGCATGCCTGCCTTTGCCAGTTATCAACATCAAGTGGAAAGATGGTACTGCAGTGATATTTTTGATCCTAACGGTTATTGGATTGCTTGCAACAAGCGCGGCGTTCTTTGTTTTTATGAAGAACCAGAGTACACCATTAGTGAGGGTATCCAATCGCGAACTTAGCCTTCTTTTGCTTGTCACAATCGCGTTGTCTTTTGTTCTCACCTTGCTCCATCTTGCTCAACCCACAAAAATGATATGTTGTATTATTTATCCCCTAAGGTACTTTATTAATACGATCTTTGTTTCCATCCTCTTCTTGAAGACAAACCGTTTGGTCCGCGCTTTTCAGACCGACATCATTCCAAACTGGTTCAAGCGATATATCTTGGATCGCAAACGTCAATTTCTTGTGGTCTTGGGACTCAACATAGTTGAAGTTATTCTGGCAATGTTGTGGCTAACTCTGGATCCACCTTACGAGCACCAGGAGATACGGGTACAGACACATGTGTTTTACACCTGTATGCCATTCAGATCAGCCGTTGGAAGGATCCTCAGAGCAACCATGTTTAGTTATTTCATATTCCTGTCTCTTGTATGCGCTGGTTATGCCTTTAAAGCCAGGCGACTTCCAGAGAACTTCAACGAAACGAGATACATCGGTTTCGCGTTGTACGTGCTCCTGATTTCCTGGATGTCATTTTATCCGGTGGACACGTCCCTGGAAGGTTTTTACAAAACCATCGTGGCCTGTGCCACTGCCCTCGTCACCGCATATGGAATTCTTTTGTGCGTTTTCGCGCCAAAAATATTTGTCATCCTACTTCATCCAGAGCAAAACACAAACGAGTTTATGAAAGCTGAAATTGGACAGTTCACAAGGAGTTCTACGTTTACAGGAAGAATCCAACGCGCGAAGGTTCAGCCCACAAACGGGATTAAAAATAATGACACTTAGCTAGACAGCACATGGCAAACTAAACAGTTACCAGATCAGAACTACATAAATTTCGTTACTTCAGTTTATACTGAGAGGCACAAACAAGTTGCAGTTACTTCGAGGTTAAAAATACTACTCCTCATGGGAAACACTCTTTCAAATTTCTGGGACCCAAATTGTGGAATGTCAAGGTTAAATGAGGACTTAAAGAAGCTGTGTCATGAAATTCATGGCAATTCAAACAGTGAGACTGACTACCACCAAACTGAGTGAAACATAGAAATAACCGCTCAAAACATAAACAGAAGGAAGGGATAACTATCACAGCAAATACAAAAGGAAGCATGGATGGACAAACTTTTGCTTGTGCTTTTTGAATACTCATTAGCCCATCCTCGGAGACCTGGCCAGGGGCCCTCAGTCTGCTCGGGAGAAAAGGCGGGACGAAAGTGTTCAAGTTCGGGCGAAAGAGCCCCTGGGTACCGACTCTCACCGGACCATTTCCAAAAATTCAAGCGGATGCTGGCTCCTGATTGGGCACAAAAAATGCTTTGTATTATTATTCCCAATTGGCGGACAGTTTTTCCTGAGTTCGTACACGACAGCTATTGTCTCGCCTCACTTGCCCGGTTCGTTCATCAAACTTGTGCATACAAAGGCAACTTTTATTTTTTACTTTCCCAACCAGAAACGAAGGAACTACCGATGAGTCGAAAAAACGTTTGGGATGCTATCAGCAGGAGCAATTGAATTTGCCCCGGGAATATTCTGTTTTTGACGGATCACAGTGTAGCGTAAATAATAGGAAGTTTAAGATGCGGCGGCGACAAGAAACAAGGCAGAACAACAACTTTGCACGTGCATCACGCTTTTTTGTACAACTGCATGACTACCCGTGGAAATAACTAATTTCACGTTTTGTGAAGGACGTAAACAAGCAATGACAAAATTCATTCTCTTCATGAACTTGGATATGGTTGATAGAAATTCAGCTCCAGAAGAGTTCGCTTGCATTTGTGACAAAGTAAGCGAGTTGGAATAATCACGATATAGACTGAAAAAATATGACGTTTTCGTGGCTGTCAGCCGTCGTGCTATCTTTTGAAAACTCTCTATAAATATATTTACGCAAGGCGTGGCCGATGCAAGTGTAAATAACTGTTGTAAGCTAAAGCTTGTTTTTTTGGAAAAGCGTCTTTAGTTTTCGGACAGACGGTATTTTAAAATCAGATGGGGATTTTATATCAAACTGAAAGTTTTCCGACAGACACGCCGTGATCGAGACAACAGCCGTCGTGTACGAACACACGAAAGGAGCTCAGAATAATACAAAACATTTTTTGTTCCCAATTAGCTGAGCCGGCATCCGCTTGAATTTTTGGAAATAGTCCGGTGAGAGTCGGTACCCAGGGGCTCTTCCGCCCTTACTTGAAAACTTTCGTCCCGCCTTTTCTCCCAAACCAACTGACTGCCACTGGGTCTCCGAGGATGTCGTTACGTTTGAAATAGTGCTTGGGAGACATATCTGTCTGACACGACGTTGTGATTTTGCCATTTACAACGGTAATTTATCAAGTTTCATTAATAGCAAATAAGGATGCACGATTGCCATTATTATTATTACCACGAGCGTGGTCTACTTTAGAAATACATAGCGAAATTTATTGAAACGTTTTGTAAGTTAATCAATCTAATTATTCGTCTCAAATTTATACTTAATTGTACTTTAGTTTTAAATTTTGATGACAATAAACAATTTTCTTCCTTTTTCTCGCAAACAGGTGATTCTACTCTTTAATCCTAGTTTAAATTTTTTTTTTCCTGGATCGAGTATACCAGCTGCCAATATTAGGTCTCAAAGTTTAGAAAACTGATGTTAGCAGTTTATTAAACGGAGAAAGACACACCAAACACAAAAATAGAATAGGAAAGCCGAAGCAAATAGTTCTAAACCCTTTCTATTCTCACGTGATTTCGGGATCAGAGTAACACCAGCAACAATTTCCAAAGGTACCTGGGTCTCGGGTGAACGTACAAACTCGTACTTCATCAAATTCCAATGCAGGACCTTGGCCCTAAACCGAATGGCAAAAACTGATATGGGAGACGAGTGTCTTTGGCGGGGCTTTGGAATCTCTCGGGATCTTCTGGGTCGGATCAGACATCAGGGTCACCATGAAGAAAATACACAAGAATGATGACTTGTAGTCCTGGTGGGATATAAATGTCATTAAACTTCTTGTCGTCGACATGCACATTCACAGTTAAACACAGCCAAAGGTGGATTTAGTCGCAGTGACTCATTCATAACACAATCCAGATACTCAATGTCATGAGAAAGGTTGTACAGAGAGCTTTCAGGGTTTCTCTTGACTGCTTCATTGATCTCCTCTCTTAATTTGTCCTGTACATTCTGGTTCAGGGCCAGCTGGTAGGTGATATAGGCCAAAGTATTACTCGAAGTTTCGTAACCTGCGAAAAGAAAGATCTGATACTGGCCATTTCTTTCTTAATCGGTGAGTTTGGATAATTCCTTTTCAGCTGAATCCTCGTTCGCTGTCAGCAAAAATTGAACAAATCCAGTTGTCTTCCTGTTGGCCCAGTTTTTCTCGTTTGCTGTAAGATCTCTGAGGCGACCTTTTTGAAGTTAAGCTTGGAGTGCGCATGATTTGTGCCAGAATCCTCAAAAGATATATTTTAAAAGGAAGCCGTCTTAAAATGTCCATTATCCAAGGAGTGCGAAAAACCTCCTTCACGTTTTTAAATAACAGGCTTTCTTTAATAGTCTTTTGGAATGTTACGTAAGCAGTTACTTAACATATGAAAACTCGTCTCATGCTAAACTATAATTTCTTAAACATTTTCAGAAGACTTGGCTCCCGTGCTCCTGTGCTTAAACTGTTCTGAATCGTCGAGGAAAAAGAAAGGGGAGATATAAAATTGAGCGCATTTTACGAGAAACTATCCCTTACTAGCATTTTCATTAAATTTGAACACTTTTCTAAGCTTTCCAACTGAACGGAAATCAAACAAATTTCTCACAATTTTATTGAAAATTAAATGTGAAGCATGGGCGGCATTCTGTTCGTTCGAAGTCTCATGATTTATGAACTTGCCTTTAACTGGATGTGAATGCAACAATGCAGAAAAAAGGCCATTTAAAACAAGTTCAATTCAAATAATAACCCCACTTACCTGTACTGACAACGCCTTCTAATGTTTGCATCAATCTCTCAACCTATCTTCGATCAGGGATACACCCCTTTCATTTTCTTTGCGCTGAACGACGGGGTGAGCGTGGCGCGGAGGCGCCTCCAAGCATCATCGCGTTCAAGAAAAAACGCTTTCGGCAATTGCCCTTCAGTCTTAATTACCGCGACGCGATTTCGGAAGTTCCAGAAATCTTTCACCAGAATCTTCTTCAGGATGTCAGGATCGGCAATAACAAGACTTGGCTTTCCAAACATACTAAAAGAAAACACTTTGCCATGATTTTTAATGTAGTTACACAACAAAAGGTGTACTCCATTAAGAAGCATATTGCCAAATATGGGCCGACCCTTGGGGCTTGGAGCGTTGATTTTCTTGCGAAGGGCACAATTACATGCTTCTTGCCACCAGATGAACAATAGCACAACAACTACAGCTGTTTTGAAGGCAGTGGGCAAAGGTTTTACTAAACTTGAGTTAGAATCTACTTCAAGGCCATCCATTGTCCTCTATCAGGATAAAGAGAAGAGTGTGATACAGTAAAAACTCGCGACTAATTAACAACTTACATTTTCCCAAGTTAGCCTTAACAAGTTCTTACATAAATGGTTATGTAAAAAGGAAAATGTTGGAAATTATAGCGGAGCTTCCGCCCGCGCTTTCGCGGCGAAGTCCCATTGCTAAGAGAAATTGGAAACCTATGAAAGCAAGGAAATTTGGTTATGACGTAGCGCACGCCCGCTTGCTAACCCGTGTACATAGGCGTACGGGCCGGGGGGCGAGGGGGGCTGCACCCCCCCCCCCCAAAGTTTGGCCAACTCAGATGTTTTTGGGCAGCAAGAGAAATTTGGGCAAAGCCAGTTTTTAAATACGTTTCCATGTTTTTTATTATTATTATTATTATTATTATTATTATTATTTTGAAGAGATAAATATTTTCTATTTTAACCAGAAGTCGGCGTAATAATTCAGTTACGTTCACACGAGACAGTGGTTGCCTAGCACTTGATGAGTTTCTGGTTATAAGGGAAGGGTATCATATGCTGATCTTTTTTTGTTGGGCACTGTACTTCACTGCACTAACTGGAGTGGGCTATTTCCAGTCATGAATTGATTAGAATAAACCTCCGCATAACTTTCTAGAATCACCTCCGCTCCTAGAACAATGTGTGGCAGAACACGCATCAGCAACGGGTCTGAAAGTGAAGTGGCTGACTAATTCTCAGTTTGAATTACGAGAAGAATCATAATTTTCTTAAAAAAATCTATCGAGGGGTTTAAAAATTATTCACTAATTTGTTTAAGTAGACCGAAATGTTTACGAAACCCCTAACAAGATCGAGCGCTAATCAAATCCTTCCTTATAGCAATTGGCAGGAGCTATCTCCATGATCTTTCATACACGTTTTTAATATGATTGAAACTACTGTGAGGTGAAATTGCATGTCAAAAGCGCTCCGTTTTCTTCAGATTACGACTAAACATCAAGATTCTCCTTTTTTACCTTATTTCTAGAAATATTGCTGCAAGTATAATAGGTAATGGCGTCATTTCGTTGCTATGACAGCTCCGATGTCATTGCAATCCTGATCATGACAAATTTCCCTCTTTATCTAATACAACTGTGGTGGCAATTTTTTCCAAATGCTTGTTTGTGGCCACGTAGTTTATGCTCAAACTTGGCAGGTATTGACTCTGAAAAACTGTATCGTGCCACTTTCATATGCCAATACGGCCTATTTTGTTGCATGGCCCTAGTTTCCTTTCGACTGTTTTGTAAAAATTTGGGCAACTTGCAAGAATTTTTTGGGCAAATGGATTACCGCCCCCCCTGGCAAAAAAATGCCCGTACGCCTATGCCCGTGTACACACTACATGTAAGACGATGTCAAAGGTCACATTAGATCTTGCACAAATTGGCACTAGCCTGTCAGTTATGTAAGCCATCCTCTGTATGAAGATGAATTGACAGCTGTCAAATTCGGACATCCGCTGACAAATATCACATAACCATCTCTCGGCCTCAGATGAAATACCAGTCGTTTTGCCCCTACATGTAAGCTCTGTAATATATCACACTTACCAACATAAAAATGAAACTACGCTTTCACCGCGGAGTGCTGTCAGTAGTTTAAAGTTATATGTGCAAGCCAAATCGAGGTCAATTGTCGAAATGGAACATGTGCAGACCACTATCACAAAACTAACAACGTTGGCTCAGGTACACGATTCGGCATTTCGCCCCCACTACAAGCCGGAATGAATTATATTACACTACGCTGTCATATTCGCAGTCCATTTATTCGAATATTCGCCATTCTTATGAAGGTCAATTAACAGCTCTCAAACAAGAGCATCCGCTGACATTTTATTCGATGACGGGCTCAATTCTGTTTTTTTTAGAGCAGACGACACATCTTAACGACACATCAGGCGTGTTTGGCTGATTTAGACGGTACGATTTTTGCTTACGATTATCGTGCGCGACTAGCATGCGTCATGACCTCACAACAGATTGTGTCTTGTAAATTAGACCCACGACATTCGTACGACAAATTGGGTGTCGTAAGTGAAAATTGTGCGCGTGTGGATGGTCGAAAGTCATGACGTATGCTGGTCGCGCACGTGGTTCGGAAATAATCGGCCTTACACGCTTGGTCAATTTGTTTGAATTATCTAATAAATGACTGAAAGAGTATATTTATCAGTCATTCACTGAACGTTAACCCCATCAGGAGTATGTTTTCGTTCTACTTGTCAAATTATTTTACGAGGAAAAGGCAACGAAAAATAAATAGAAGGTCTCTGAAAACAGAAGCAAACTTTCACTTGGTTTCACGGAGTAACCCCGACCATTGAACAATCGAAACACAACACACCACAAGACGAAAACAGAGTGCGGCTAATTAATTGAACGTCGGCCTAGAAGTTCATCCCCATTCATTAATTACATCAGTTATGAGAAGTTCACCATTACATCAGTCATTAATGGCAGTTTGATACTTGTGGATATTTAAAGCTGCATAAAAGCAAACTATTTTTTAGTTTGTTATTATTGTACATGGACGGCTTCGTGCATTTATCAGTGTGCTGAGTATTGCAATTGAATTTTCGTTTTGATTTTTACCCTCTACGGTATGTTGGGTTTCTAAAGTCTAAAGCTCGATGGCCGGAGAGTTTCTATTGATTTCAGATGTGTTTCAACGGGAAAACTGAAACCCTTTCTCAAACGACGGTAAATGAACGGCTCCAAATGTTAAGCAGGGATTTAAATATTTCTTTGTCATGGCTTTAAGATGATAAGTTTTCAAGTTTATTGCTTTTATTAGAAGTATATAAACGGATGCTTCGCCTTTAGCCCTGGTTAAATCTATATATTACACCTGTAGTCGCACCACGAAAAAGAAAATGGATTCAAGGTCAAACATAACTCCCTTGCTCCCTGTGTGCACATCAACCCGCCGCTCTTATAAAACTGGCTTCTTCCTGCCCTGGTGTTTTGCCGTGAGAAGAAACGAGCTGAGTCAGATATTTTTTCTACCTCGACAGCAGGCCAAGTGGGAACCGGAAATCCAACCTTAGGTAAACTTTGAAAGTTATATGTGAAAACGGAAAATGTTGAAATCATATGGAAAGACTAATAAGATGCTGTTTAATTCTAATTTCATGTAGATCACGGGTGAGTACATTAAAATGAGGAATAAGCTAAGTTTGCGGGGACACAACATGCCCTCTGAGTAAGCGATTGCCGTGAGAAATCCAAGGGATGTAAATTCATCTCCCTCATTGAAATTAATCATGTCGCAACTGGAACGGAGGGGAAAAACTGTCGTGGCAGAAGCGACACCAAATAAGCAGTCAGGTTGACAATTCGTTTACATAACAAAAAGGAAGTTCAATCTTCGCAGGGCTCCGGGCTGAGTGGCCAGGATCTGTTCTTAATGCCTCCGGCCAAGCTTTGCCACCTTCGCTACATGAATATACCAAAAGTGCTAAAAAGGTTTTTAGTTTCCTATTAAGCCTTCAATGAAAATGTCATGTTTCAATCTTAAACGCGTCGTCATCTTCGTTAAAGCGGAGGGTTTTATAGGAAAACGATCACTTTATCTGATAAAATACCAGCGCTTTAATTAAATTTTCCTTTCACAGGCAGAGATATTCCAGTCCTCCTCGTAAGATAAAGATAAACTACGGTGGTAATGCTGACCACTCTGGAGATTTCTTCGCTTTTGTTTCCTAACACGACGCCGTACTGGCTTAGTACCTGCTAAAGGGCATATTGGACTACTGAACCTGATTGCTGATAGGTTGGTTTTCATTTTGAATACCTCACTCAACACTAAGAAAACAAATAAACACACTGACACTGTTGAATTTCTTGCAACGTTCTGGCTACACAGCTGTCTCAAGGTAGTAATCGATATGGTTGTTTATCAGTGAAAGAAAATATACTAAATAAAATTATGCCATTATCTCGATTATAACATTTAGCCGTCAACTAAACGCAATTATAATAAGGTATGATCCTTAGAGTTTTTTAATGGCGACAACTGAGGAACTAAAATAACTTATTATGGGCATATATAATAATTAAGATTTTCGTTTTCTTTTCTTTTCTAGCTTGATCTGATGCACATAAAAGTAAACTGGCTTAACGAGGAAAAAATGTCAAAGTTTCATTTCCTATTGTTATGGTTATTGATGCGCTCTTCGCCAGCTTCTTCCATCGACCCAAAACGATTCTACCAACCGGGCAACGTTACTCTAGGAGTCTTGCTTCCTCTTCACGTCAGTACCGCCCAGGATAAATGCGGTGAGTTTTACGCTTTCGGCCTTGGATACACCGAGGCTATAACTTTTGCAATCGAGCGTATCAACAAGGATCCTGAGCTTCTACCAAATGTGACACTGGGCTTCGACATTCGAGACTACTGTGACACACCTGTTCTCGCCATGAAAATGGCCGATGACTTCGTGAAAAGTAATTATCTCAACGAACTGCTTCAAGAACAAGGTGTTAAGGAGCTTAGGTCAAAACTTACAATAAAGATGGATTATCTAACGCAACCGGTCTCCGCAGTTATTGGCACTGGAGATTCAGGTAGCACCACTCTCGTCTCGAGTCTACTGCAAGTGGCTGCCATTCCAACTATAAGTCCTTTCGCTACCAGCGAAGAGTTGAGCTCACCGTATTTTAACTCCTTTTTTCGCACCATTCCACCCGATGGCCAACAAGCTAAAGCCATGGTTGACATAATAGAGTANCCATTCCAACTATAAGTCCTTTCGCTACCAGCGAAGAGTTGAGCTCACCGTATTTTAACTCCTTTTTTCGCACCATTCCACCCGATGGCCAACAAGCTAAAGCCATGGTTGACATAATAGAGTATTATCAATGGAAGTATATTGCAGCCGTAGCCGTTGACCATTCCTACGGTCGATACGGCTTACGCGCGTTGGGACGAGAAGCTTACGACCGAAAGACGTTCTGCATCGCGTTTTCGGAGTACATCACGCGTTCAGGATACAAAGGAAAAATAACATCAATCGTGAGAAAACTCAAAGATGCTGAAAACATTAAAGTGGTCGTCTTATGGAGCACCTATGAACCTGCAAAAAGGTTTCTGGAAGAAGCGACTGCGCAGGGGCTTGAAGGACGAACATTTCTTATTAGTGAAACATCAACTTCCATGAATCCAGACGTTTTGGGAAAAAATGCTGTCATACTAAAAGGAGCGATAGGAATAAGGCCTTATCCATTCACAGACCGTCTGTTTGAGGATTATCTTAAGGGAATCACACTAAATAAGACCCGAGAAAGCGCCAATCCGTGGTGGAAGGAGTTTTGGACAAGTCATCTCAACTGCCCCTCAACGTCTGAAGGTGCTTGCCTTAACCGGTCCAAAATAGACGCTTGAGCCTTCGCCAAACTGCACGACGCGTTCGTTCCTTACCTGACAGACGCCGTCTACGCCCTTGCACACGCACTGGACTCTTTACCGAAGTGTAAAGAGCCCGGAGGCGAACCTTTAGCGAGTGGCTACTGTCCTGAACAAAATTCCAACATCAAACACGAGGCCATGCTTCTGAAACTCAGGAAAGTGAGTTTTCAAGGCATAACAGGGCAAGTGCAGTTCACCGAAAGTGGTGATCCCACTTTTTCGTCGTACGATATCGTGAACTTTCAGAAACAGGCGGAGCATTATGAAAATGTTAAGGTCGGGACATGGACAGGGGGAAATCGTATCAACCTCACAATCAACGACAAACAAATAATATGGGCTAATGAAGAAAGTGATCCTCCCATATCCACATGCAGTCACCGTTGTCCTCCGGGAACTAAGCAGACGATCACTGTGTCCTGTTGCTGGGAATGCATTAAGTGTCCTCTGGGCTCCATCAGTAACCAGCATAGCTCTCCCAACTGTACGAAGTGTCCACAACTACATAAATCAAACGGGGACGGTACAGCATGCCTGCCTTTGCCAGTTATCAACATCAAGTGGTCAGATGTTACTGCAGTGATATTTTTGATCCTAACAGTTATAGGATTGCTTGTAACAAGCGTGGCTTTCTTTGTTTTTATAAAGAACCAGAGTACACCATTAGTGAGGGTATCCAATCGCGAACTTAGCCTTCTTTTGCTTGTCGCAATTGCGTTGTGTTTTGTTCTCACCTTGCTCCATCTTGCTCAGCCCACAAAGATTTTATGTTGTATTGTGTATCCCCTAAGGTACTTTATTAATACGACCTTTGTTTCCATCCTCTTCTTGAAGACAAACCGTTTGGTCCGCGCTTTTCAGACCGACATTATTCCAAACTGGTTCAAGCGATATATCTTGGATCGCAAACGTCAATTTCTTGTGGTCTTGGGACTCAACATAGTTGAAGTTATTCTGGCAGTGTTGTGGCTAACTCTTGATCCACCTTACGAGCACCAGGAGATACGGGTACAGACACATGTGTTTTACACCTGTATGCCATTCAGATCAGCCGTTGGAAGGATCCTCAGAGCAACCATGTTTAGTTATTTCATATTCCTTTTTCTTGTATGCGCTGGTTATGCCTTTAAAGCCAGGCGACTTCCAGAGAACTTCAACGAAACGAGATACATCGGTTTGGCGTTGTACGTGCTCCTGATTTCCTGGATGTCATTTTATCCGGTGGACACGTCCCTGGAAGGTTTTTACAAAACCATCGTGGCCTGTGCCACTGCCCTCGTCACCGCATATGGAATTCTTTTGTGCGTTTTCGCGCCAAAAATATTTGTCATCCTGCTTCATCCAGAGCAAAACACAAACGAGTTTATGAAAGATGAAATTGGACAGTTCACAAGGAGTTCTACGTTTTCAGGAAGAATCCAACGCGCGAAAGTTCAGCCCACAAATGGGATTAAAAATAATTACACTTAGCTAGACAGCACATCGCAAACTAAACAGTTACCAGATCAGAGCTACATAAATTTCGTTACTTCAGTTTATACTGAGAGGCACAAACAAGTCGCAGTTACTTCGAGGTGAAAATTCTACTCCTCATGCTAAACAGTCTTTCAAATTTCTGGGACCCAAATTGTGGAATGTTAGTGTTAAATGAGGACTTAAAGAAGATGTGTCATGAAATTCATGACAATTCAAACAGCGAGACTGACTACCACCGAATTTACACTGAGTGAAACATAAAAATAACCGCTCAAAACAATGGGTAAGAACAGAACAGAAGGGATAACTGACACAGCAAATACAAAAGGAAGCATGGATGGACAAACTTTTGCTTATGCTTTTTTGAATACTCGTTAGCCTAAAAGTTCATTTTTTTATTTTCTTGTAACGTTTGAAATAGTGCTTGGGAGACATATCTGTCTGACACGATGTTATGATTTTGCCATTTACAACGGTAGTTTATCAAGTTTCATATAAGGATGCACGATTGCCATTATTATTACCACGAGCTTGGTCTACTTTAGAAATTCATAGCGAAATTTATTGAAACGTTTTGTAAATTAATTAATTTAATAATTCGTCTCAAATTTATACTTAATTGTACTTTAGTTTTAAATTTTGATGAGAATAAACAATTTTCTTCCTTTTTCTCGCAAACAGGTGATTCTACTCTTTAATATTAGTTTAAAAAATTTTTTTCCTGGATCGAGTATACCAGCTGCCAATATTAGGTCTCAAAGTTTAGAAAACTGATGTTAGCAGCTAATCAAACGGAGATAGCCACACTAAACACAAAAATAGACTAGGAAAGCCGAAGCAAATAGTTCTAAGCCATTTCTATTCTCACGTGGACTCCATATTTCGGGATCAGACTGACACCAGCAAGAATTTCCAAAGGTACCTGGGTCTCAGGAGAACGTACAAACTTGTACTTTATCAAGAATTTCACCAAAACAATCTTGATCTCCATTAGAGCGAATCTCATCCCAATGCAGGACCTTGGCCCTAAACCTGATATGAGTGACGAGTGTCTTTCACGGGGCTTCGGAATCTCTCGGGATCAAATTTTTCTGAGTCGGGCCAGAAATCGTGGTCACGATGTAGAAAATACGCAGGAATGATGACTCAGTGTAGTCCTGAGGGGAGTGTCATTAAACTTGTAGTCAGTCTTCGACACATTAGATTAGATTAGATTAGATTAGAACTTTAATAGAATCATCCTCAAAAGGTTTTTCAGACACTATTTACGGTTAACCTGCTGAGCCAAAGGTGGAATTAGTCGCAGTGACTCATTTATAACACAATCCAGATACTCAATGCAATGTCATGAGAAAGGTCGTAAAGAGAGCTTACAGGGTTTCTTTTGACTGCTTCCTTGATCTCCTCTCTTAATGTGTTCTGTACATTCTGGTTCAGGGCCAGTTGGTAGGTGATATAGGCCAAAGTATTGCTCGAAGTTTCGTAACCCGCGATGAAGATCTGACACTGGCTAATTATATCTTCATCGGTGAGTTTGGATAATCTCTTTTAGTTGAATTCTCGTTCGCTGTCAGCATCAAATGCATCAAATCGTGTCTTCCCTCAAGAAGATCTAAGATCTCTGAGGCACACTTTTCGAAGTAGCTTGGAGAGCGCATGATTTGTGCCAGAATCCTTAAAAGATATATTCCAAAAGGAAAGCGTCTCAAAATGTCCATTATCCAAGGAGTGCCAAAAACCTCCTTCACTTTTTTAAATAACGGGCTTTTATTTAATTGTCGTTTTGAATGTCAGTTTCGACACCAAACGTGGTGGAAAGTATAACTTCCAGCCTAACATGTCTACAGATTCGTATAAAATGCAAACACAACGTTATAATGACTGCTCGAAAGTATTTATTAGAATGGTTTGTGGCCATCCACTTAACGGATAGATAAGAGCCAACACCAAGTTGAGTTGGGTCAACTAAGTTGACTGACCAAATTACATTTCTTTGATGCAGTTTTTTGCGCCATGGAAGGTTTATATTGAAGCGGTTACTTAACATACGAAAACTCATCTCATGCCAACCTATAATTTCTTAAACATTTTCAGACGACTTGGGCGCCCTGTGCTCCTGTGCTAAAAATTAAGTAGTAAGTAAGTTGAAGTAGTAAGAGGAAGAGATAAGATTTAAATTGAGCGCATTTTATAGTTTTTAGCGTTGTCATTAAATTTAAACATTTTCTAACCTTTCCAACTAAGTTGAAATCAAACAGATTTCTCACAAGTTTATTGAAAATTAAACTTAAAGCATGGACGACATTCTATTCGTTCGAAGTCTCATGACTTACGAACTTCCCTTTAACTGGATGTAAATGCAACAATGGAGAAAACAGGCCATTTAGAACAAGTTCAGTTCAAATAATAACCCCACTTACCTGTATTGACAACGCCTTCTATAAACTTCTGCATCAATCTCTCAAACGAATTATCGATAAGGGATACTAACCCTTTCATTTTTTTTACGCTGAAAGACGGGGTAAGCGTGGCCCGGATGCGCCTCCAAGCTTCATTCCGTTCAAGAAAATCGCTTGTGGCAATTGATGTCCCTTTAGGCTTAATTTATGCTCAATAACAGAAAATCTAGAAAATCTAGCGTAATTGAACAATAGCTCAACAACTTCAGCTGTTATGAAGGCAGTGGGCAAAGGTTTTACTAAACGTGAGTTAGAATCTACATCAAGACATCCATTGTCCTCTATCAAGATAAAGAGAAAAGTTTGATACAGTGAAAACCCGCGACTAAAAACTTACATTTTCCCAAGTTAGCTTAAACAAGTGCTTACATAAATGTTATTACGCACAAATTTAGGCTATTAAGGTTTTTAAATAAATTTTTATTTTCTGAAGAAAAAAATACAGTGTGGCTAAAGGTAGCCTATGTACAGAAGCCCCTCCCCCAAAAAAGTCGGCGAGAGAGACGTCTGTGAGTCGCCGTCGTTAATCATGTTCCGGTTTATATTCGCACAAATTGTTTTTGGTATTTTTCCTTTGACAGTTGAAAAGGTATTGACAGACTCTGGACTCTTGTATAGCACGTACGCAGTAATTCCCTCGGACGTTCTCAACCTTTGTAACTAGCTAGGCTCTAACTAGAATACCTACCTAAAATGTCATTTATAACGGGTACATTATGCTTTGGAGGATTCTAACACGTACAATTTCTTCCGTCTTTTTTAACTCCTAGAGCCGGTCTGTTTCCTGTGCATAGATTTCCTGCGGATTTTGGTTTAACAGAATTTTGATCTCGCGAGCAATGTTTACATTTCCAATACAGCGTTTTACGCAGGAGTTGATCCATTCGATGATTTCGAGCAGGTTCACGTTAAGGATCGTTCACTTCTCTTCAGCAGGAAATCATAGCTCTACTTTTGTCTAATCAGTTTTACGAGTCCGGCGTCTGTACACAGGCTCGGCCGAAAAACTTCCACGCAATGTCCACTCTGAAATCCAGATAAAAGATCTCTCATTAAGCGTTGCATTCTGTACGTCCTTCTCTTTTATTTACAATAGCCACCGGCAGCAAACAGATGCACCCGCAACCGGTGCAGCAAACATCGGTGGTCTTACTTCACATGCCTATTTGCAGAGAGCCGAAGTACAAGTAAACGTATATAAATGTGGTAGGCAACACCGAAAATTACTTGCGTCATGGCATTAACATCCATGCAGTCAGAGGCTTTCCCCTATATTACGGGGGGAAAGGGAACACAATTAACGGCGGCGATTCACAGACGTCTCTCTCCACCGATTCTTTCTGAGGGAAGGGGGCGTCTGTACACAGGCTTGCTAAAAGCATTTATTGGTATTCAGGTTATTCCTTATATAAAATGTGCATACCATTACATTGCAGTTGGAGTGATAAGGCACCTATGTCTCCAAAGAGGATCCTGAAGGTTAACTTAATTTAATTGCCCAATTGTACAGAATTTTTCTTACAGATATTAGAAAATAAGAACCTGTTTCAAGTTTTAGGTTAAACAGGTTCTTGTATGAAGGGGACTAAGTGGTAAAAATTTAGCCTTAAAAACACAGTTCTTAGTCTTACTGTATACCATTGAGAGCCTCTGCTGCTCTTCCATTGAATTAAGTTTCTTTATAAGTTTAAAACTTTGATAGAGATTTGGGAACTTATCAATTGAAATCCCAGTGCTTTCTCTTGGCCGATTTCTTGGGCTTTCCCGCCTCTAGTTTTTCCGTACTCATACCATATAATTTGATACGCATTTTGCCTCGGTGATCAACCGTTTTGTAAAAAAAAAACAAAATTTGTATTTGAAATAATTTCAGCAGGAGTTGAAAGGGAATATACATTAGCTACTGAGTACATTTTAAGGCTTATATCTTAAACGTTACTGCTAGCTGATAAAGTTAGTAGAATTTTTTAAGGGAAGAGCTTATTCTCGGTTTTCACATGACGTCATCAAAATTCTAACTAAGGAATGAGCTTCTACTTTCATAAGGTATTGCAGTAGCTAAACATCTTTAATTACACATCTCCGGTTCGAAAGGTTCTTCGTTTCGCGAAAGGGACGCTTGAATTTTCAGGCTTTTGCGTGACGCGGCATTTAGCTGGCGGCCGGAAAAGCTCTTATGTAGGTTAAAAGCCTTACCGATTTTTTTTAACTCCTTGCATCTCTCAGAATAAAGATCACTTTAATCTTTATGAGTTCATCAAAGGATGTATTCACGCCGGTAGGAAAACTCAACGACACATGTTTCTGTTACTTTCTGGTCGCCATATTTGAGCCCCACCTGACACCAACATGGCGTCTCCATACAAAGCTTTGTAAATTTGGGTAAAATATTTTCCCGAATATCACGAATATGGAATATGTAGTTCCAGAAAATATCCATACCCC